TCTTCTTGCATATACTTTCAAGCGATCTATTCCCCTACATTCAATTCCACTCTCTTCTTCATGTACCTGTCATGATCCTCTGTTCTCCTGCTTATTTTCTTTTGTTTGCAACCGGGTCGCAATAATTCCCTCCCCTTGAGAATTAACCTTGTCCTCAAGGTTAAGGTAAGGAAATTGTTGGGATATGTGAGCAGTGCTCTCGCACGTTCTCTTTTGTGTTCTTCTCCATTTGATCAGCCACTACTGTTTTTCTTGCCCTTGATTTGTAACTATTCATGTCTATAAGACCTCCTCCAGTTCTATTGTCTCAAGTTTTGCAAACTTTGTTAAGTCGGATTCATAGTGCGTGGGTCCAGGATAATATTTCTTGAGTAAGAATACATTGAAGACGGGGTGGATTTTGGCCTTAGGGGGGAAGTTGTAACCTGTAGGCTATCACACTGATTTTTTTCTCGATTTGATAAGGCTCGTAGAATTTAGGAAGCAGTTTATTACCGCTTCTTGTAGCGATTGAAACTTGCGGATAGTGTTGAAGCCTAAAAAGGACTAAATCACCTTCAAATTGGTGTTCAATTTGATGGCCATCTACATATTGCTTTATATGATTTTGGGAGGCAAGCCAAGCCTGTTTGAGGGCTCTATTCACTTATTGTCTTTCTTATAAGAAAGTTTCAAGGTTGGCGAAAGGAGTATTAATGTCAATAGTATCCATAAAATGTGGAGGTGGATACCTGCAGAGAGCCTTAAAAGGTGATATTTTTATGCTTGAATGGTAGGTGGTATCATACCACCATTCTCTAGCCCGATCAATTGGGCCCAAGAGTTGATGTTGCAATGAGCCATACACCGAAGATACCCTTCCAAGCATTTGATTAAGTCGTTCAGTTTGACCATTGGTTTGGGGATGGCAGGAGGAATTATAGTGGAGCGGGATTCCAGTTAATCTCGTTAATTCCTTTTCGAAGAGACTGGTAAAAGTTTTGTCCTATCAGAGACAATGATAATGATCTGACAGAGACAATGATCTGATGGCATCCATGTAATCTGTGAATCTGATCCAAGAAAATTTTGGCCACCTTAACTATAGTGGAAAGACACTTCAAAGTTAAAAAATGAGCATACTTGGTCAATCGGTCCACTACTACCAGAGTAGTTTCTTTATTGTTTGACCTGGTAATTGCTTGATGAAGTCTGTATTCATGCTTGTTTGGTTAAGGAGAGCGGTTGTAGCAGTCCTGGAATGGGTATACGTTCCACTTTGCACCTTTGGCATATTTTACATTTTTGAATCCACTTTGTTACATCCTTTATTCGTGGCCAACAGAAATGATGTTTCAGACATTGATACGTCTCTCTAATTCCGAAATGCCCTCCTATGTGAGTATTGTGATATTATTGGATTAATTTCTACCTTAATCCACTAGATGACCCAATGATTAATCTTTTTTTGTTCTGGAGAATTCTGAATTGCATTGTATACCCAAGTTTGCTGTCCAGACTAATCATCAATTCTTCCAAAGTTTTTGCATATATTCATCATTCAAGTAGCTATTTGAAACTTCCTCCAACTAAGAAGGTACCCTGGTTGTGATAGCGGACAAAGTAGCTGGAGATCAGACTCGTAGTTGGGTTCCCTTTCAAATAATCCTTCAGTCACCTTGTTTTTTAGGCCTTTTTTTGAACTGAATTGTGTAATTCAGGCTTATCAGCTTGACTATTCCTTTTTGTTGCAACATGGTAGTGACTTTTTGCTCTAGGAAGTGTTTAATATTCTGCTGGTCGGTCTTGATGATGAAAGAACCTCCTTCAAGATAATGTCTCCATTTCTTAACTACATGGAGAATAGCAAAGAGTTTTTTTTTTCCATAAATTGACATAGCCTGGTTCTTTTGATTCAATCCCTTACTGATATAAGTGATTGGTTGTTGTTCTTACATCAATACTACTCCAATTCCAGTTTTGTAAGCATCTGTTTCGAGGAAAGGTTTGGAGAAGTCGGGTGACCTCAATAGTGGCATGTTGGACATTTTCTCTCTCAGAGTTTCAAATGGTTGATTGGATGCATCAGTCCACTAGAATCCCCTCTTTTTGAGCATCTTGGTAAGAGGTTTAATGATAATACCATAATCTCTGATGAATTTTTTGTAGTATCTTGTGAGACCTAGGAATCCTCTCAAACCTTTTAATTTCGTTGGTAGAGGTCATGCTACCACAACTTCTATTTTCTTTGGATCGGTTCGGACTTCTTGTTTGGAAATGAGATGATTCAAGTATTCTATTTCAGATTGGGCAAAAAGACATTTAGATTTGTTGGTAAACAGTTTGTTTTGTCGCATTAGTTCTAGCACTGCTTTGAGATGCTGGCAATGCTCCTTGAATCATGGACTGTAAAGAAGAATGTCATCAAAGAATACCAGCACGAACTTCCTTAGACTGAAAAGTGACAGAAGCATTGGTCAAGCCAAAAGGCATTACTCGAAACTTATAATGACCATGATGAGTTCTGAATGTCGTTTTTTACACGTCTTCATCCTTCATCCTGCTTTGATGGTATCCTGATCGGAGATCGATTTTTGAAAGACTATTGCCCTATATAATTCATCAAGTAAGTCATCAATGACTGGTATGGGAAACTTGTCTTTGATTGTGCATTTGTTGAGCTCTGTGTAATCTATGTAGAATTTCCATGATCCATCTATTTTTTTCATCAACAAGACTGGAGATGAGAAAGGAGAGTGGTTGGGTTGAACGATAGAAGCATCCAATATCTTTTGACTTACTGTTCAACTTCTCATATTTGGAACTATGGGTATCAGTAAGGTCGAAGGTTGACAAGAGAGCTCCCTGCTTCTAAGGGAATATCATGGTCCATTCCTCGAGCAGGTGGAAATCCGTCTGGTTCACCTGAAAAAAAGTTCCTGAAGTTTTGCAAAGCTTGCTCCAAGGATTCCTTTGCATCTTTCTTCCTCCATCTACCTTCGGTTTCTAAGGACCGAATGTAGTAAATAGAGCATTGTTGCCCTTGGCCCGCCACTAATTTTTCAAGGTTCTTTTCTTTGACTATAACCAAAGGTTCGGATGCTTTTATTCCATGCAGAGTGATCTATTCTCCGTTCTTTCCA